CTTACAGATAGTTGCTGTCAAAGCAGCATGGAACACAAATAAAATCTGTTGCTTCATGAGTTTACATAGTTCCCAAATGGTATAGGTACACGTGGGGGAGAATGCATTCTCATCCCCCCCCCCCGTGTGTGTGTGTGTGTGTGTGTGTGTGTGTGTGTGTATCTGTGTGTCTGTGTGTGTATTAACAAACACCATGGGCACTGTGGTGTTTGTCTACAATTGTTCCTCCCATGGTGGTGTTTCCTTACATACTCATTAGACTGTAGGGAACCAACCCTGATTCCATTTGTAGCATTGTACACACAGGTTTATATGGAATGAAACGCTGGAGTGCATTTTCCTATATGAATTGTTCTGACAGCTAAATAGTCCTCATTGTTCTGTACCTTCCCATGCCGGGAGTGGTGCTAGTCAATTTGATTCTATGACTCTTTGCCTTTTGAAACACTTAAGATAATTGTTGAAAGTAAGACCCACTTCCTGCCTGTTTCTTTTATGAGCAAGTAAATGAGATGTGCAATCAAATGATTGAAAGTCAAAGGAAATCTGCCAGAAGACTGCCTGTAAAAGAAAAGAAAGGATTTTTTTCTATAATTTCCATTTTACCTGCCTTTATGCTAATGACATGCAAGGTATTATGGGGAATTTTCTACCAGATAAAGAACTCATGATCCATGGTTAGTACAGTTAAACCCACTGAAAGACACCACCCACAAGCAGGCAACAGGTATGGAGACAGCTTAGAGACTTGCTCAGGACAGCTCTTTTGTAATTCCTGTCTTGGTACACCACCATTGCTGTGTTTGCTTTTTCTCAGTACAAGGCAGTGCTTTGATGGAGGTCTGTACATAGCAAATTTAAAGTGAGTTAGAATGTTCAGCAGAGCTGATTCATTAAGAGCCCTTCACTGAGTGCCCACAACATGCTAACTTTTGGGTAAACTAGTCTGCCAAATTGTGGTTTATTTACATATTTTCTTGAATATTTAAGCTTTTTATCTTCTTAAATTTGCTGTTTCCTTTAAGAAGATGTTGGTTGTTACAATGTTAAAAACAAAGGTTGAGCAAGCTGTGGTGGCACACATCTTTATTCCTAGCATTTGGAAGCAGAGGTGGGTGGATCTTGTCTACTTAGCAAGTTTCAGGACATTCAGGGTTATGTAGAGTCTGTATCAAAAAGGCAAAACTGAAACCAAATAGTCCAAATAAAGATGCTAAGAATTTTAAGATAGGAGCTGGGGAGATAGCTTAGTTAGTAAAATGTTTGCTGTGCAATCCATTCTGAAGTCTAGATACACCTGCATGCAAGAAAATGTGTAGCCCCTACATATGTGTACATACAAATTAGCAAGTGTGTATATTTTCTCCACAAAGAATATTTGGATAGTGACTTATTAAACAAGAAATACATACATGCACACCTTTACACACATGCTCATGTGGACCAGTTTAGAATGCAGAAAGAAAAATAGTTAGATGCCAATATACAGGTTCAGGCCTTAAATTGGACGCTGGGAGTTCATTTTCTGTGTTCATGAGAATATCCTCATTATACTCTCCCTTCAGCTTCCCAGCATGCTGTTTCAGTTTTCATTCTTTTAATGGTTTCCCCTGCTCACTGCCCTTCTCCTGTTCTTCCAGTTCAGTGTGAGAAAATGGGGAAGTTTTCAGATAAGTCTATTTTCAGATTTTCCATGTGGGCACAGCACTCTAACCTCCAATGGCTCTACCTGTGTTCATGTTTCCAATGTGTTTATCAGTGTGTGCTAACTGGGCTGCACAGTGTATCTTCTGGACCAGGCCACTTCATATCAGTCCATGACACCAACACAAATAGTGCCTGTGAGCAATTATAGAAATATCTATAGCACTTTAGTTCACTGAGTGTCATGAAATATTTCTCCTCCAACTAGTGCTGCCTGGCTCTTTAAGTCAAGTTTATGAGCTCTCTTTTATGAATTTTTTTTTTCATTCTAGTTCTGTGCTGAAGCTCTTAGTACTTCTTCTGAAACTATTATAACAATCAATACTAATTGAATACCGAACCATTTAACATTTTATGCAAATGTAAACAAATGCTTTTTTTTTTGTTTTCTTTTCTTTTTGCTTTTGCTAGAAGACAATACCTGCAATATACAATCAGTTTGGATGAGAGCATAGTGACATCTTGGACTTCTGGGTTGGAACCCTGCTTTCTGTCCTTTGTGAGAAGAGTGACCCAAGAGGAGTTACCTACCTCTTCTTCGTAGCTCAGCCTCCCCAGTTAGTTTCTGTTGCTTTGTTGAGATGTTGTCTGAAATTAGTTATTTAATCATGTTACTTTGAAGACAATGAAGAGATGAATAAACTAACCCAAGTCCTTGATGGACCTAATGTTGAACACATAGATGGATGGGTTTTTATGTAGAAAGAAGTAGGTTTTCTGCACGTCTCATGGCTGTTGGGGAGCCAAGAAGCTAAGCAGAGGCTCCCTTGGTTCAGTGCTATGAAATAAGTTATAAGTCATTTAGAAGATATTTTTTTTCCTACAGATAAAACTATTACAACCAAAGGAAAATGGAACTGGGGCGGGGAGCTTTTGAAGGAAATATATCTAAAAGTATCTATCCCATCTCTTTAAAAAATTGGCTAGAACACCTGGATTTTTCTGAGTGTAATTTTAGTTAGGTAAAGATTGAAAAAAAATATATTTTTCCAAACAAGGAAAAAGTAATTTTGTGGAAAATTATGGTTGGCAGTACTCTTTAGCAGTAGATCAGTTTTGCAAAAATTAATTTTCCTTGTTTTAAAGAATAAGAAAATGTGAATGCAGTCAAGGTCAGAGACATGCCTTCTGTCAAACTTGGTAACCTGAGTTATGTCGCTGGTACCCTTATGGCAAAAGGATAGAGCCCATAAGTGAAGGTTGTCCTCTGACTTCCTCATGTGGAGATTGTCATGGAAACACAAACCATGACAAGTGTCCACACGAAATAAGTGAATTAATAAAATAATAAGAACTCAAATGCTAATGGTGATTAACATCATTATTGTTTATCTGAAAATATTTACCCTTCAATAGGCTTTGTTGTAAGATACCCACTTAAAGACAGAGACGCAGATGGGCATTGTGGGTGCTTTTCTATTCAACACTTAAATGTTTGTTTTAATGTGTGCACTAAACAAGCACATTAAAAATGCATCTGGGGTTTAAAGCTATGTGGGATGTGCTTTATTAGGCTTTAAAAATTGGTGAGCTGTCTTAAAAGCATGCAGAACTATATTTGGCATATACCTAAACCAGCTGCCAGGCAAATGTTGCTGACTTTATGGGACTGGGATCCTTGGTATATTGAATGGGGACAAAAATCTTAAGAGTTAGAGGGCGTGATTTAATAGCTACATAAGCCATTGCTAAACAAGTGAAAAAATAGAAGGACATACTTTACTCTAGTCAGAGAGCAGGGGAAACAGAGGAAAAACAAATTATTTGGGGCCCTGAAACGTAGGTATACATACACTCAGCACATACTAATGTACTCACCAAGTACATGAATGAATCTGAAGAGTATCAGTGGTAACACTCCTAGAAGATGTTGGTCACCATCTGTGATGTTGGTCACAATTGCCTGGCACAGCAGGCTGTCAGGGAGTTGGTGAGATCATCAGTCTCATGTCTCAAAATTAGATTACACAGGACACTTTAAAACACACTGTAGGAAACAGTTGAATTTGGGGAAGGCAATAAAAAGATGCCCCATGTCATTCTTTCCCACTTCTAATTGCTCATGCTTTCATGAGGTTTAAAAATAAAAAGAAACTATAAAATATGATACAGAAATTCCAGCAGGGCCTAAATTTATGAGAGCTTATGATCAAACATGCATACATTGAATATTCATGGTTCTGTTATAGTTTGGACCATAATTCTCCCCCACATTCCCACTTACTAAAGGTGTCCTCCCCAGCTGGAGACACTGCCGTAAGGTACTAGAATTAGGAGGTGGGGCTTAGTAGTAGTTCTTAAGAAATCAGGTCAGGCCCTAGAAAGGGATTTGAACCCTCATCACTCTTCTTCCTATTTTGGTTCTCATCTTTTTCTGCCTTCCCACAAGTCCAAAAGCAATGAGGTCAACTGACTAGGGACTACATTCTGCAAAACTCTTAGCCAAGGTTAAACTGGTTGGAGACCATTTTTCATTACCACCATCATATGTTCATCTTCAATTATATTAACATTTGTATGGGGAAATGATTTTTTTTTTAAGTTTTTGACTATGCTAGACTACAGAGTTGGAATTTAACTCTTAAGGACAAATTTACTGATCATTTCAGTTGGTTGTTGTTTGAGATAGGGTTTCTCTGTATAACAGCCCTGCCTGTTCTGATCAAAAGAAGCAACACTGAACAATGTTTGAATCAATCTTTCTACCTTTTTTTTTCTAGTTCTCTGCATTGTAACAAGCCTCTAAAATCTCGGTAACTTTGTCACATATTTATAATCTAGCTGATGCTTCATTATTGGAACTCATACCTCCTACAGATTTCTTCTATCTTATTTCCAGTTAGCTACCACAATACTGAAGTTTAGTACAATGGAGTTTATAGCCAACAAAGTAATCAGAATCTGAAGAGCTCATTACCAGGGAGAAAACAATGGCTAGCCCTCTGGGTCTATAGAAGTATGATGCTGTCTCTCCTCTCCTGAAGAGTTAGAGATTCTGTTGGCCACATGCTTGAATGTGATTCCATGGGAACTGTGGATACCATGGGTGGAGATGCTTGAGTTGTATGATCTGACATTGGAGCTGTTAGCAGAAGCTGGAAATACTTAGGACTACATCTGAGTCATCCGGCTTTGAACTGTGGACTTATTCTAACAGTTGCTTTTAATTAAGTCAGTCTGGCCTGCTGGGATTCTGGCAAGTCAGCTGTTCAGAAAGCTCCCATTCTTTGGAAATGTTCTGACCTTCCCAGGCTTTTACTCAGCATCTTGGATTTTGTTTTCATTTCCATTTTCAGATTTATAATCGCTTAGATACAAATTGCTGTGGATTCAAACCTCGCAAGGAAGATGCCTGCATACAGAATGGACTGAGGCCAAACTGTGATGACCAAAATTCTGTGACTTTAGCACACATTATCCAGCGAAAGAATGACCCAAGACATTTGGTCTTCATAAACAATAAGGGCTTCTTTGACAGAAGTGAAGACAACTTAAACTTCAAATTGCTAGAAGGCATCAGAGAGTAAGTTTTTTGTTTGTTGTTCAAGTCCCATCACTTTCTTTAGCCTGGACTGTTCTGGAATTCTCTGTATAGCTCAGTCTACTGTCCTCCAACCTTACCTTAAACTTGCAGTCATCCTTCTACTTCAGCTGTCAGAGGGCTAGAATTACAGGAAGGAGCTGTTCCATCCAGAACAAAGAGTAAATTTTCTAATGAAGTGACTTCTTGGATGATCACCTGTATGTTAAACAGCTAGTAACATTTCACAAAAACTCATACCTTATGTCAGATATATTTCCAAAGAAATTGTGAGTGTGGGGACAGAGACTCAAAGGAGTAAAATTACCCTTCAAAAGCAGCCAGTCCACAATGGCTACACAGCTCCTGTCACATTCTTCCTTAACTGCCTTGCTCAGCCTTCATTGTGAAAACCCTTGTGGGCGAGGTTGGACAGATCCAGGGCTCTCAGGAGTAAGGATAACCGGGTGGCAGAGGCTCTGTTATTAAGGCACAGAATTGGACATGGGGGAAACAATAGAGATGTGCAGGTCCATAATCAACTATTTGGCATGCCAATAGAACTAATAAACATAGTAGAATATCAGTTCATGATAAACCCAACGATTGCTATGAATACAGTGGGAGGCGAGCTCTCTGAATAGCAGGGGGCCCTTTAAGTTGGATAGGAGGACTCTGGAGTATTTAGAAATCTGTATAGTAGACATAGACTGTGGGGCTGGGACTTGAACAAAGGAGGAGCTGCAGGAGGTTAGGCAATGAAGTACTATTAAACTCAATATTGGTCAAAAACTCAGAGATGATCTAAACAATTTGGGAGACATTTGGTAGGACTTAAAGAGTATAGGAATAAAGAGGGGCCAGTGTGAAGCTCGAGAAGCTAATTCTGTACTGTGGAAATAAAAGACACAGTTGGTCTCAAAGCACACGGATGTCATGTATTTGTGGATAGAGAAGGTTCAGATTCCTGAGTAGCAGGAGCTGGCTACAAAGTCTGATCATTTCTAGCCCAGTTATATAAATTGTGACTAAATTTCATACCAAGTGGAGCTACCTTTGTTCATTACCCATTTTAGTTAGGAATACGATTCCCTAACGAGGTTAGATTGGAAGCTCAAGAGTCCATGAGATAGTGGTAGCTCTCCAAGAGCCAAATAATGTGAGGAAAACATACCCATAAGTCTGGTACAACCTAGCTTTTCCAAGCACCCACTGATTTTTCTTGCAGTAACTTGTATTTGTGTTCTGATGCTATTACTCCTACTAGGCTGGCATGTGGTTCAGGGTGTTCTATACCCAGAGCTTAAACAATGGCAAGTCCAGAAGAAAATTAGAATGTAAAATTCACAGATGATCTTATGTCTGGATCACATTTTAGTTGTTTCCCTTGACTTTGTACTTAGCTAACGTGGATTTTATATACTCTCAATACTGAAAAGCATACTCTTCCTGTAGGTTTTGGGAGTCCCATGAGGTTTTTGCTATGCTCTTCCCCTGTTGGTGCCTTTCACATCTCTGTGAATTGAAGGCAGGTTATGTGGCAGATTCTCCCTTTCAAATACCTAAGCCAAGGCGAAATTATGTACAGGAAAACTGACATTGTCAAGACATCACTTACTGAATTGCTACTACAGGGACTTAAATTTCTTTACAGAATTGAGAGTGCCGGGGTCATACATCTATCTTAAACATTCACATAAATGTGAATACTTTCACTTATTCTTTGGGAGAAGATTAAACCTTACCTTCATTATGAGGAGTAATGGGTTTAAGGTTGAGCCTTCTTTGAATGTGTAATGCACACATTAAGAGCAAAAGTGAAGTCTTTGTCACACATTTAATATTTCCATTAACCAGTACATTGTAAAAACCAATAATAGAATAATGGTTTGTTTTCTTTTATGAACGGGACCAGTCACTGAAGAGCCTGGTGGTTTTAATACTCTCATCTCATGCATTATGCCTCAGCGAAATTGGTTGAAGGGCTATGGAAATTACAGTTATGGATAGTAATACTTCATACAACAAAATGCTGCTTGGTTAATTCATAGCCCATAAGATTCATGGTACATGCCTTTAAGGAACCTGGAATACATGACAAGCCTTATTTAACTTCATACTTCTGAGAGTGAGGGGAGACCAAAATGGGGGTGTTGCAAAATATAACCTATGATTTAAACCAGGTATTTGATATGATTTCTGTGTATACTGTCTATGCTAGACACTATATATGCTAGACTTTCTAGTCTTTCTAAATGAAAAGAAGCAAGTTCAGTGAAATCTCTCATGGTGATTCAGCCAGATCTTTCTTAAGTGACCTCAGGATGTCTAGTGGGATGCCTTCAAATGTCCTTGCTCTGAAAGTTTACTTTTGTTGGATTTATTTGAAAGCAACGGCCATCTTTATGTTACTGTAACTAATGTCTGAGGTAATGTCTAAATATAAAATGGGAAGATTTGTCATGGTTTCCAGCCTTAGAGGTTTTATTTCTTTATTACATTTTTTTACTTTTTTTTTTTTTTTTTGGTTTTTTAAGACATGGTTTCTCTGTATTGCTTTGGAGCCTGCCCTGGAACTATCTCTGTAGACCAGGCTGACCTCGAACTCACAGAGATCTGCCTGCCTCTGCCTTCTGAGTGCTAGGATTAAAGGCCTGCGCTACCCACATGGCTATGAACAGGACTTTTATAATCAAGGATGGATAGGTCCTTTTCAGCACATGACCAGGTGTTGAAGGAGAGAAGAGGAAAGGGTGGAGTTCCAGGATACCTTTCAAGGCATGCCCCCCCCATGACCCCACCATCTACTATGCTTCATCTCCTAAAAGGATCACTGCCTCCCAGTCACAGTATTCTAAGGACTAAATCTTTAATACTTGACCATTTCAGGGACATTCATGATATAAACTATAAACTAGAGTAGCATTTAATACCTACTTAAAAAAACACTGGCCTTTCCCCCATCCATTCCATCATGTCTATTGTTGTCCTTGCTTAGCTCATATCATATTGGTGAGACCTTTTGGGTAAAAACTCTCTGATCTTCTGGACCTTGTAGTCTTTCCATTCTTTCTTCTGTAATGTTCCCTGAACCATAGGTGTGGCAGTTGTTTTATAGATAATCCATTAGGACTGGGCTACACAACTCCATGAGGCCTCAACCCTACAAACAGTCTTATCCAGGGAAGAACCAAATAGTCAGCCCTGAAAACATACACACAAGTAATAGTATACAGACTGGGTAGATCTTCTTTAAGAGTGTGTGTGTGTGTGTGTGTGTGTGTACATACACATATACTTACATAATAACAAACAAAAAGAGGATATGAATTTGAAAGAGATCGAGGAGGGATATATGGGAGGATTTGGAGGGAAGAAAGGGAAGGGGGAAATGATTATATCTCAAAAATAAAAAGTAATTAAAAAGAAGAAAAAACACTGGAAATCACTCAAATTCCAAAAGTATAACCTGAATCAGAGAGTATTCTTGAATTTTTCCTCTAATTGAGTTATTTTTTTTTTAAATAATTTTTCTTTGTTTTATTAGAAGTTTGAGATCATTGCTCTGGGAAGATACTCCACTAAAACCACACATGTTTTAGTTCCCACATTTTCTTTCATCAAACCCCACTTTGTTACTGATGACAGCAAATAAAAGGCTTTTGCGGGACACATGGAGCCTAAGATGAAGGGAAATGCTGCTTCAGACCTATTGTGATCTTAATTCTGTGCCTTTTTTTTTTTTTTTTTGGTCAGTCTGTAACAGCCTTTAAGTAAGAAATTAAGATGTCATTTTCTGAATGGTTTAGGTAATTTGGTTCATTTGAAACACATTTTTCTTGCATTTTGTTTTTAGGAGAAGTGCCTGCTTGTCAATGGCAAAAAACATTCAGTTTTCAAGGTCCTATTTAGGAGTGTGATTTATGCCAGATTAATGAAGGCAGACCATCTGGGGGAAGGAATAATATTTCTGAGTATTTGCTAAGAATGAAATATTGTGTTATCATTTCAGGTTTCCCGACTCTGCAGTCTCTGTTCTGAAGAGCCAGCACTTACGGCAGAAGCTCCTTCAGTCTCTGTTCCTTGATAAGGTTTACTGGGAAAGTCAAGGAGGCAGGCAAGGCATAGAGAAGCTCATTGATGTGATAGAACAGAGAGCCAGAATCCTTGTCACCTACATCAATGCACATGGCGTCAAAGTATTACCTATGAATGGATGACATAGGGTTTCCTGCCTCAAGGACACACATGTGTGACTTTTGGGTTTTCTTAATAAAGTATATGAACCTTAAGTGTTTCTAGGAGTGAGGCAGCATAATTGAATACACAAAACTGACCCAATATATATCATGAACCGAGTTTAAAAAGTTTGCAGAGTTTAAAGGTATGCAGTTTCAAGAAGTATTGGAATAACACATTGCTTGCAAAATGCGTGATATTTTTTTTTTTTTTTTTGCCTAACACTCTGGCATGTACATCTCAGTGTCATTGTTAAACAATGGCCCTAATTATTATTCCCACTGATGTTTAAACCATTTTCATGCCATTTGATGGGGCAATATAAATCAGAGATTTGACTCTTCTCAGAAAGAGTCATATTGTCATGCCATTTGACTGATCGGCCAGCTCCTAGCAGAGAGTTAATTGATATTTTCCTGATGCTGATCATTACAACATTTTTTCCAGCCCTGCCCAGAAGCAACTCTACATTCGGAAATTGAGGCACGGGGGCTGTGAAAGCAGCAGAGACTTGAAATACCTTCTAAGCAGACATGGTAGTAGATTCATTTACAAACCACCAGTGTGTTTTCTAGAGTCTATAAACAATCATCTATCTCTGATAAAAAATCTCATATCCATTCCTTTTAGGAAATTTACTGTCAGCATAGAAATATTCATATGTAACAATGGATTATTAGTTCACTTTGCTCTTAATTTTGATTCAAATTATGTCTGGTGGTTAGAAAACTAAATAGTTATAAGGTATAATGTTACCTATTTGAAAATGTATTTTGTGGAGTCTCTTAATGTTCTTATGGGTTGGTTGGTTGGCTTTGAAAAAAAAATAAGATCTCATATAGTTCAGGCTGGCTTTGAACTCCTTATGTATCTGAGGATGGCCTTAGTCTTCTGATGCTCCATCTCCCAAGTGTTGGGATTACAAATATGTGCTGCCAAGCCCAACAATGCTTGAGATCAAACTCAGGGCTTCATTTATGCTAGATAGGTCTTGTATGACTAAGCCCATAACCCCTGCCCACTTCAAATGGCTGTTTAGCAAATTGTCACTTTATAAAGAATATGCTACAACTTCTGTAGCTTTTTTTAATTACAGAAGACTTCTTGTGTGTAATTAGGTTTCTTTTGATTTAACTGTTATTATCTAGGTATTGATAATAAGTTCAGATATGAAATATGTTATGTAGATCAAGTCTATGTGAGAAGTTTCAATGAAACCGAATCCATGTGACTGGATCTTTTCAAGAAAAGCACATGACTAGATAATATGTGGCAACAAATTGGGCACAATTAAGTCTCAAATAATTCTCTCCCAAATCCCACTACCAACTTTTTAGATGTATTGGAAGGACTGAGGCATACAATGTTCATGCTCTGGATCTTCCTGTTCTTGGGAAATATACAAGGTTGTCACACATTCTACTTATATGGAGGCTTCAATTCTAGAGCAAATTATTTCTCTCACTTTTAGATTTCCTACCCCTTGTTTAAAAGCAGATTGATTAGCCAGATGTTGTGATATATACCTGAATTCCAAGCACCCAGGAAGCTGTGGAAGGAGGATTGCAAGTTTGAGGCCAGTCTGGTCTACATAGTGATATCCTGTCTGAAATGTACCCCGCCCTTCATAAAAGCTGATTTACTGACTTTTTCTTTCTTTGGAAACTTACAAATAAAAAAGTTACAAATTTATTGTATTTGTTTTATCTTCTCTTTTTTTCTAGCTGTTATTCTTTATATGCACAGCATTTTCTGTATTCTAATGAAGAATAATTTAGTACAGTGTGAACTTACAAAAAAAAAGCCCAACAACCTAGGCTATATCATAGAGGGGAAACATTTATATAGATTCTAATGGAGGATACAAATACACCAAGTTATTATACATATATATATATATATATATATATATATATATATATATAATATTCTAACTATAACAAAGGACAGACCAAGGGAAGAGGCAGTCACTGACACTCTCCTATCGGCTTTGCAAGGCTCAAGTTTAAGCACTGCATTTATCATCTTATGTGTTTCCTTTTCCTTGGAGTGTTGACCTTTGTCACGTTCTCTTGAATCTCCCAACTGTAACCTGAGTGTGACTCTAATCCTGGTGACTCCACATGTTAGCTTCTGTCTATGAGTTTTATCTCATTAATCATCATCTTAATTGTCCTTGCAAATACTTGTACACCCCCTCTCAATTTAGAATTAAAAGAATTTCTGCCAACTTGTCTCATGCCTTATTATGACCTACATTCATTTTAATAATTTTTATTTTTAGAAAATTTACCATTTTAATCCACATTGTGATATTAATTTCAGGTACTTTCTTTCATGCATCTAAAATTACTTTGCCCCTGGGCAGCATGCTTTTGCAAAGGTGGGTGGGAGTGTATTTTGCCTAGTTATTTCAATGTACTTAATACTAAGCAAAAAGCTCAAGGACACTGATTACTTATAATTTACCTTTTAATGATTTATTTTTACTTTTTATGTGTATTTTGCTTGTATAAACACATGCATTTGTATGCACTACTCATGCAAGCCAGAAGAGGACATGGGAACTTAGGAGCAGTAGTGAGCTACCCTGACTTGGGTTCTAGGAACTGAACTAAGGGAGGGCCCTTAACAGCTGAGCATCTCAACAGCTCTTAGAGTTACCTTTTAACAATGTATTTTGTTTTATATACAGTGATTAATTAATGGTGCATTCGTTTTGAATAATAGTTGCAAGTCAACCTTTGAATTCTAATATGTAACATTCTTCCTTTATTAAAATGATGAGAATGTTTTGTGCATTTCAGATGTGCTCAAATTGTACTGTGATTTGGTTTGCATTAGCCCATTATGTAGTTTATTTGTTCTGTTATAACAGATTTAAAATAGAAGAATTTAGCTTGGCTTACATACAAGAGCTTATTATCCTGTGACATGTTTCTTTTTAGCAGATATGAAAATGCACATGTATCTTAGATTCTGTAATAAATGTTAGAAATCAAAGTTGTGGGGTTATATATAAATATATGAGTTTTCAAAGCTATCTATAGCAACTCCCCCCTCTCCTTTAGAACAGTTCACTCCAATCTCTCTCTGCTTTATATTGTCCTTTGTTAGGGTGGCCAAATATTCTGCTTACACTGGAAAACAGAACAATGTTTGTTTGTTGGAAGGACTGTGATAAAAGAGACAATTTAAGGGCCAAGATGTCTGCGTGGATTATGTGTACATGCATTTGATGTCATAATTCATGAGCACTGTGCTTTCTTTCTCTGGTGTTCATAAGCATTATACTATAGGGTTGGCAAAATAGTTAACATACATCAAATATCTTAGGAAGAGATTTAATTTTTGGTTAACTTTCCATGGTTGGCATGAGCCTTACAGTATGTTTAAATTCTCCTTTCTATTATTTATATTTAATAACTTTGTTGTAACATCAAAATGTAAAATATCCTAGGCTTATTCTTAAAATATTTATTTCTCTGAACTTGAAGAATAATGGGTTTATTCTACTATACCTTTAAATATGCATTATGTTACATATAATGAATAAAATATATACAGATTTATTTGCACACTGTCTTATGAAATGCTAATGTCCACTTCAACATAGACTTAGGTAAGTCACATTTAATGTACTAGTCTGAAAAATATACTGAAATTATATATGGACCAAATGAAAATTAATTTTATATTTTTTTTGTAAAAATTAAGAGTATAATCAAGAATCAAGCTAGGGAAGTCCAAGGTATTCAGTTGCCTGTAGCACCATGATGGTTTGAGTCTAAGCCATTGGAGTTGTCTTACTGGAGAACATAGTGTGCACCTGTGTGCTGCTACTCTCCACGGATCTTTTTAGAGGGAATGATGGCATGTACTTGAAATCCCAGTATTTAAGAGCTGAACTCGAGTCACTTCAAGTTTGAACTAGCCTGGACTACAGGGAGACCCTACCTCAAAACAAATGAAGAACAAAACAGAGCATCAAAATACAAGAACTGTCATTTTGTGAGAGAGATTTTAACTTGTCAAAACAACTTATCTGAAATTTGGAAATAGCCTGATGTGATTTTGGTGTATTCGTACAATTATTGGGCTAAATTTTCTACTGAGTTACTATTGAGCTTGGTTTAGGGAAGAGGTTACTGTGTAGATTCCTGTTCCATAGAAATACTACTTATTTTTTTCGGTGGGATAAACAACTTTAATAGTTAAATTTTATTACCATGTTGGACACTAACTGATTTTTATATCTATTCCAACTATTGTATAACATGGCATATAAAGATTAAGCTTTGGTAACATTTTTAAATGCATTTATCATTGTAGCAATGCTATAACTATTTTAGTAAAGTCCTTTATACATATTTATATTCTCCTAAGAATCCATTTTATCGTTTGGAAAATTTTTCTTTAATAAACTTCTAACTACCATTGCATACTTTTATCTGTTTGAAAGTGCTGAAAAGTTCACTTAACCAAACTTTTAAGGCATACTGATAAAAATTTATAACTGAGTAGTTTCATAGATTTAGCATTTATCCAACTCTTGCCCTAGGAATAAACGTTTAATGAAATAAAGTGACTTAGTTTGCTCCATTTTAGGCAAATGGTTGGTCTACATTCCTCACTATTCTGATATTGAAAGAGTCAGAACACCAGTAAATGTCATTGTACAAATACATAACAAGGAATCTCAACTTATGGATCCTGAGTTATCTATGAGTCTGAGAGTCCACTGAAATTATGGACAGAAATATTGAATTGATCCAGAAATCAAAACTTTCTAAGGCTAATCTTGTAACATAGAACTCAAATGAACAGAGATTTTACTAGCATTCAATGGTTCTGCCTACAATTTCAGTGGATAGATACCCAATTATAGATGGTCTACAGTCTCCAAGGGTTAAATGCTTTCTTTGAAACAAAATAAAGAGGGTAAGAAATTATATTACTTATAATAAGAAAGATCATCACTTAATTGAGCAAAATAATCACTTTTATGCAAAATTAGAAGCATGGTTTTTGGAAGAAATGGTTTACAGACTGTTTTATTCACGAGTGAAAACTGAAGAAGCATTTATTGTTAGGAAGTCTTAAATATGTTTACTCCACATTATCAGTTCCCAATCCACTGACACCAATTGTAGAGTGTCATTTGCATTTATTTACTCCTTTAATTTATTAAATTCCATTTCCTGATTTATTTGCTCTTACTTAAAACAAAACAAAACATGGCCTATTTTGGAGTTAGGAGAGAAGCTAAGTTAGTATGTGGTATTAAGATAAGCTACTTGATTATTACTCAATAGTTTACTGAACATTAGTAATGTTCCAACATTAATGAAAAATTTCCAAAACAAAGAACTTTTGCCAATGCAGTTTATTTCTTTGACATTGCAAAAACTTTTAAGGCCATGTG